ACTGCCCTGCTGGCACAGACTGATGCCGTGGGGAGGGCGCTGCTTCCATATGCAATTGTGTAGTTTTCGTTTTATTACACGCATGTAACCCCCAGCCAGCGCAGCCCTGTCTGGTCTCTGGGTAGCACTAGGGCTGCTCCTCGGCCCAGCACAGAAGGTGCTACTTCTTCCGCTTCCCCTTGGGCACGAGGACTTCAGGAGTTTTGCCCTCTGCTAGGGCTAGCTGCTTCTTCAGCTCCAGCAGTTTGGCCACCTCTGTGTCAACCTGGGCCTTCTCCGCCTTGTTGGCCTTCAGCTGCCGAATGTGATTGCCCTGGGGGGACAGGCAGGGGGGGTGAGCAGTAAGAGCTTGAAAGGCTAAGGGCCAGCCCCCTCCTCCCACCACTCACCTGCTTGGCCACCTTCTCTGTTAACTCCTGGATCAGCTGGGGGTCCCCTGGAGCCACAGGAATCTCTGGGGGTGGAGAGGCCTGTTTGGCCTGTGGAAAGACAAGTTAAGTGTGAGCCCTGGTCCCAGCCTCAGGGGCAAAGCTCTGTGCCCCCTGCCTCCGCATGCTGGGGATGGATGGGTCACAGCACCCCCGAGGCAGCGCCAGGGAGTTACCTGGGGCTCTACAGCAAAATTGTCAGGCTGGTAAAGGAGAGGCAGCAAGTGAGCAGAGACAGAGCCGAGGTGGAGAAGTTTGGAGGCACCCAAAGCTGTGGGGCTACTGCAGCCCAACTCACCTGCCCTCCTCCAAAGCGCCTGCGTAGGGCTTCAACCTGGTCGTTCTCCAGCTTCTGGAATAGGGGGCTCACCTGGAGTCAGAGGGAGGCGTTACCCCTACAAAACCAACACCCCTGATCCCAACCATGCAGTGCCCAGGGAAGGCATAGCCTGCCTTCCCCTCCACCTACGGTGCCCACACGATGCCCGGAGGGCAGGGTGCAGGTGAAATCGTGGCTCAGGACAAAGCAGTCTGGGGGGATGCAGAGCTGCGCCTGGATGGCCAGGCTGACACTGGGCATGTAGGGCTGCAGCAGGACAGCCAGGAGAGAAGCCATGTTCACCGCCACACCAGTCACTGTGCCTGCACGCTGCCTGTGGAGCAGGAAACCCTCTTATCAATGCCAGCTCCCAGCCCTGACCCCTGGCCCAGCCCCCCTCTCTCCCTACCTGTCCTTCTCATCACCCTTGATCCGCTTCCAGGGCTCATTCACCTGGATGTACTGATTGCCGTGTCGAGAGATGCTGAGGATGCACCTCAGGGCGTCGCGGATGCTGGCAGCAGGTAGATGGCAGCTGAGTGGCTGCTGTAGGTCAAGTCTCTGCCCTCCCACCCTCATGACAGTTCAGTGCTGCGCCAGCCTGGGGGTTTGGGCTACTCACCGGACCTTCTCCAGCAGCTGGTGGTACTGGTGCAGCTCCAGGGTGACACGGGCCAAGAGCCGCTTGTCATCTGGTGTCAGGACCATGTTGGGGACAGTGCCACTGAAGAACTTGCAGACAAACATGCCAGCTCTAGGGAGAGAGGTGGAACAGGAGTGAGCACAGCCCAGGGACAAAGATGTCCCCTGCCACCACCAGGGCGTCCTAGAACCTGTTGATGAAGTTCCCCAAGTTATTCAGCAGCTCTGAGTTGTTCTTGAGCATGAGGTCGCTCCAGGAGAAGGCACTATCCTGTCCTTCAGGCCGCAGGTACAGCAAATAGAAGCGCCAGATGTCTGACGGGATGCCCGTGTCCTTGGCCATGTCCCCAAACACTCCCACGCCCCGGCTCTTGGAAAACTTCCCGTCCTCATAGTTCAGGTACTCTGGGGAGGGAAGGAGAGACCCTCACTATGGGGCTCAAGTGGGGATCCAGCCCTCTCCCAGGCAGGAAACAGCCCCACAAAACAGGGAGATTCTGTCAAAGTGCTGATAAACTCCTGCCAAGCTCAAAGGGGCTTCCAAGTACAAGGAGGGCAAATGTGCTTTTGTGCCTCTGCAGGACAGACAGGACTATTCCCAGTACCAACGGAAAGCAGGGAAGTGTGGAGACCTCCCTCCCAACCTCTGGTGACTCCCCCAGTACCTGTCGCAATGAGGTGGTTCACCAGGGTGTAGTTGTCATCAGCACCGAGGAGCGAGCAGGGGAATATGACGCTGTGGAATGGGACGTTGTCCTTGGCCATGAAGTTGTAGAGCTCGACCTGACAGGTAGCGAGCGGAGGCAGGGGGGACATCAGTGGATGCTGGCATCCAGCTCTGTCCCCACCCCCATGCTGCAGCTCCTACCTGCTGTGGGTTTTTCCACCACCTCTCCCACTGGTCAGTGTAGTTGGCCGTAATGGACAAGTAGCCAATGGGAGCATCAAACCATACGTAAAAAACCTGGGAGGAGAGCGATACGTGAGTAGGGGGCATCCAGGCAGGGCTCCTGGGGACAGACACTGCAAGTGAGGGGCCAGGTGGGGCACACCTTGTCACGGAAGCCATCGAGGGGCACAGGTGTGCCCCACTTCAGGTCACGGGTGATGCAGCGGGGTTTGAGCCCGTCCCGGATCCAGGAACGAGTTATGTAGCGAGCATTGGCCGTCCAGTCCCCTGTGGCCCAGGACTGCTCCAGCCAGGGCTCCAGCCGCTCCTCCAGCTGTGGGGGAACACATGGATGGGGTACCACAGCGGTACCAGGGGGTGCCCCATCCCCTCCTCACTCCCCCAAGGATAAAGCTCACCTTGGGTAGGTCCAGGAAGAGGTGCTGGGTGGGCTTCACTACAGGGACACCCCTGCAGAGCTTGCACTGTGGATTCTATCAGGGAGAAAAATATGGGTGGGAGGGAGCCCAGGACAAGGCTGGCAGTCCCAGGCAGAGCAGAGGATGGAGCCGTAGGCTTGGGTGGGGTGGTCCTCAGAGCGATCCTGTCCCACCTTCAGCTCCACAGCATTGATGAGTTTGCCACATTTATCACACTGGTCCCCCCGGGCCTCCTCGTAGCTGCAGAAGGGGCAGGTGCCCTCCACAAAGCGGTCAGCCAGGAACTGCTGGCAGTCCTCACACCGCAGCTGCTCCACAGTGTCCTGCAGTAGGAAACCGTGGGCCAGCAAGCGCTGGAAGATGTCCTGAGCAATCCTGGAACAGGAGAGGAAGAGAAGGGGGGCAGCACCCATCGGACAGGGAACCCTGGAGAGCCATACAGCACCCTCAGCCATGCATGCTGGGTTTCCCCTCAACGTTTCCCAGCGCCAGTCCCTCAGCGAGACCCTGGGGGACACGGCTGCTCACGTGGTCTGGTGCGGCGTGGTGGTGCGGCCAAAGTAGTCAAAGGAGATGTTGAACCAGCGGTAGATGTCAGCGTGGATGGCGTTGTACTTGTTGCAGATCTCCTGGGGTGTCAGCCCCTCTTCCACCGCCTTGGTCTCAGTTGCTGTGCCATACTCGTCTGTGCCACAGATGTAGAGAGTGTTCCAGTTCCGCAGACGGCAGTACCTGCAGGCAAGGGCCTGTGATGCCCGTGCTGGAGCTGGGGGCAGTACAGCCCCCCACGATGATCCCCTGGCCCCATAAAGCTTTCCCGCAGCCAGGTTTTACCTGGCAAAGGTGTCGGCGCTGAGGACACAACCAATGATGTTGCCAAGGTGGGGCACGTTGTTCACGTAGGGCAGAGCACTGGTGATCAGGACGTTCCTCATGCCCTCCACCGGCAGCCTGGCATGGACAGGGGCAGTCAGAGCGGGCACAAACAGCAGCAGAGCCGCCCCACCCCAGAACAATGCAGCATGGCCCTGCAAGACCCTGCCAGGCCCCTTAGAGGTCTGGGAGAGACAAGTTTAGCATCATCTTGGGACTCACACAGGTTTCTGAGGCTGCCAGGGCTTGGGCAGCGCTGCAGCACCACGGGCCCAGGCATCCACAGCAGCTGTGATTTCCTCCTCCGTCAGGGAATGCTCAGAACCTTCTTCCTCCTGCAGGGACAGCTGGTCCCAGTGAGGGTCTGCATGCCTGTCAACACCAGCCCCACAGGGGCCCATCCCTGAGCCAGGGCTGTGCAGGGGGACGGGGCTGCACCTCGGGCTCGTTACTGGTGGTTCTCTCCATTGCCAGGCAGGGCGGAGGCTGCTTCTGCAGGTAGGACTTCAACTCCAGCAGTGCGTTGGGCATCAGAAGAGAGTCAGCAGATTT